GTTGCCTGCAGCTTGCGGTCTCGACTATTTGTCGATAGCGAGTCGGATGAACGTACTTGCCTGTTGCATCAAAGACAAGTTTACTCATTAGTTCTCCTAGCTTGTTGTGTTGTCCTCCATTTCTCGTCACTAAAACATAATCACAGTTCGGCTTGAGCAGAGGGCGTATATGATTGATGTAGCCATCTAACACTTGCATGCTAGTCTCAGTCAGGTAAAGAGAATCGAAGCCAAACTTTCCTGCTGTTTTGAACATTTTCTGGTCGATAAATCCGCCGTTGGTTTTAGCGTTGTTCACCATCTCAACAGTTAAATATTGATATGTCATCGGGCGCGATCCTTTGACCTTGATAAACAAATATACGGCGAGAAATTTGGTAGCAAACGATAAGTCTAGTGGGGATATTGTACCTGGATCATCCTTGCATGATTTTAGCACGCTTTCGTAGCGCGGCAAATAACGCCCTACGACTTCCAAGAGCTCTTCTAGCGTAGCCCAGTGTCCCTTGGCTTCTAAGGCTTCGATATCGAGTTCGCTCGTCCATTGTAATCGCATCATCTTGGAGACGGTCTTGCGGACTCGTTTTAAGTACAGCTCTGTGGAAGATAATCCTCTTAATACCGATTCCGAAGCTCCATTGACTTTTCTGAAATCCCCTAATTCTGCAATGGCGTCCAAATAGCCTATGCGCCCTGCGTGCCCGAGATTCCACTCGTCTTGCATCATGTCAACAAATTTGAAAAGTAGATTGGGCGAACATAGACTAAAGTCAACGATTTCAAATGTAAGATCCTCCTCTTCTTCGCAACAGAATTTAAGAAACTTCAAACACTTGCTGACAATTTGGTGCGCTTGCCGATCACTTTTACAACCTCCGCCACTGCCGGTGAGCCAGGACAAGAAATCTTGTGCGATTTCACTTGACATGGCAAAAGAGACAACTCTTCTAGATTTAGGTGGAATCTTGTGATCACTGACCTCCATTTTGTTGCTTTTTTGTTGGCCTGATTCAATCTGAGTGATGTCTGGCTTTTCGTCGAAATAAAAGTACCAACGATGTTTGTTCTTTGCGTGTTTTCTGCATCCTCTTGCCGTTGTAAACCCATCATGATTGCAATCTTGCACTGGACAGTGAAAAAGGCCATCAGAATCGTCTTCTTCTAAGTGAAGTCGTTTGGGTTTAGGAGATGCGTTTTCTAACTTTGACCAGTCGATTTCCACTCCTCTTTTGTTCATCTTTTAATATCTGATATGTGAAGTTTCTCGCGAGACTACTGTATTTATAATAAATAGCTGACTTGTTATCCATCTGGCCCGCTTCTCACACAATAAAACCAAACAAAGGAACAAAGGGGCAGGTCTCATCTTGTCCCAACCTGCCCTTACCTGATTAAGCATGCAGCAGGCAAGCCAGGCTAGAAATTGAATTTGCCCTCGATCGCGCATGTTAGAATGGTAAAGTAACCTCGGAACTTGTGTTCGTGTTCACCAACGCTAAATAGGAACCCTCGTTCCCATTAAGTGACTCAAATAAAACAACGGAATGCTAGTTCCTCTTTAACTTAAAGCGGAACTAATTCCAGTTTGGAAACAAAACTATTGTTTCCATGCTTTCAGCAGAAAAAAGGACCAAAATTGCTTTTGAAAGGGACCAATTAAAACATTTGGGAACGACAAGCAGCGATTAGGAACAGCACGTTCCTAATTGCAAATAAGATAAGACTAAAGTGGAACAATCGTTCCTTAATA